AGAGAATTCCTTTGAGAGAGTTGGTGGGGGGCTATGCTTTTCTACCCAGGCTGCACATACCAGCCTCACACTCAGATGGAAGACGGGATTGCCATTTTAGTAATCCCAGCCAAGAGAAGAGAATTTTACAGAATCACTCCTAGAGCTAGACTTTTGTGCTTAGGGATACACAGGATCTGGCATCTGACTTAAGCCTGACAATGTAGAAAGGTGAGAGGCATTTGGGAGCTGTACGTGGTAGTTAAATGTGGACAGAAGGTCTCTGCATGTCATGGCTTTGCTGGCAGGCTGCTCAGGTGCAGGTAAGTCAGGAATGTGACCATTTGATAGAGGCAGAATTTGGGCAGTCATTTTGTAGGGGTAGTGGTTGGGATTGATAATAAATTTGCAAGGGACCTTAGGTTTTTTCAGGTTTTGGTTCTAGAAAACAGGCTTTTTTCCAGGCTTTGCTTTAGAAATACATATCCAAAATAAAATTATAGCACACCAATGCCTTCCTAAAAATACTGTGTTTCCAACTAATTCATGGCTGGAGTGGGATTAGAACTGCTGTCAGGGACAAAAATAGGAAGAAAAAAATTGGAAAGATTTTCTAAAATTATTATATACAAAATATGTAAAGCCTGAGCATGAAAATAAAGAAATTATTTCTTCCTCTGGCAAATATTTAGAGAAGTGGACGCAATTGAGCTACTTTATCTCAAAAAGGTTTTTCATCCTGGACATTCAGTAGCATCAATGCTGAAAGGGAGGCTATTTTTCATCCATATCAGGCTGGGAAGGTACATCTCTGTCTCAGAATTTTAAAATGCTTTTCCAGTGATATTTTGAAATTGCTTTTCCTTATAGTAGGGAGCTTCTCTCCATGGATGAACAGTCTATTATTTGAAGAACATGTTAACTCCTGGACACAGAACTCTTGACTATCCTAACATGAAGCCACTGATTTAAATAGCGGTGCCTTAAAAGCCCAAACTCTGACATCCCAAATCTTTAGAAACACAAGCAGACAACACGTTCAGGCACGATTCTCTTCTCCAGGCCTGCCCGGCTCCTTGCCATCTGGCAGTGTCATCCATCCATGCCACGTGGTCAGAATGGGGAATCAAACCATTTCACATATCTTATCCCCTGCGAATTAAGCTAGAATCTGTCCTTTGACAAACCTGTAAATGTCAGTAGAAATTCTGGACTCTCAAAAGTTACTTCATGGTGGAAAAAGTGATGAATCATCATCATTTCCACTTTTACCTGTGGCCAGTGGCTCCTATTTTTTTTCCTACCTAGGCAGTTATTTTCTTCAAATTATAATTTCAAGCCAAATAATTGTTCATCTTTCCAGCTACTAATGAAACTAATAAAAACTAAGCCATTGGCCTGGCGCGGTGGCTCACGCCTGTAATCCTAGCTCTCTGGGATGCCGAGGCGGGCAGATTGCTCAAGGTCAGGAGTTGGAAACCAGCCTGAGCAAAAGCGAGACCCCGTCTCTACTATAAATAGAAAGGAATTAATTGGCCAACTAATATATATACAAAAAATTAGCTGGGCATGGTGGTGCGTGCCTGTAGTCCCAGCTACTTGGGAGGCTGAGGTAGGAGGATCCGCTTGAGCCCAGGAGTTTGAGGTTGCTGTGAGCTAGGCTGACGCCATAGCACTCACTCTAGCCTGGGCAACAAAATGAGACTCTGTCTCAAAAAAAAACAACTAAGCCATTGTGACTGAAATATGAAAGTTGACCAGAGAAGCTTGCCACTCCCAGGCATTCTGGGAGCACAGTTAAATCATAGAGCTGAAGTCTGCAACAAAACAATATTTATTTATATATATTTTTTACTTTATATGGAGGAGAAGCATCACACAGTTTGGACAGAGAACATGACTGTTCTCTTTTATGAATTTATTAAAAAATATCTAGTGATTTTCCACAGAAATTTTGGAGGCTCTTATACCTCTCATGTACAGACACTGAATAAACTCAGAATGGTTTGTCATACCCAAGAATGTATTTAGAATATGAGGGGCCAGGCGCGGTGGCTCACATTTGTAATCCTCACTTAGAGAGGCTGAGGCGGGCGGATCGTTGGAGTCTAGAAGTTCAAGGCCAGCCTGAGCAAGACTGAGACCCCCGTCTCTACTATAAATAGAAATTAGCCAAACAACTAAATATAGAAAAAATTAGCCAGGCACAGTGGCATGTGCTTGTAGTGCCAGCTACCTGGGAGGCTGAGGCAGGAGGATTGCTTGAGCCCAGGAGTTTGGGCTCTAGTCCAGGCAACAGAGGGAGACTCTGTCTCAAAAAGAAAGAAAGGCACACATTTTTTTCTATCCTCACATCTCTTTTTTATTTGAGACAGTCTTGCTTTGTTGCCCAGGCTAGAGTGAGTGCCGTGGCGTCAGCCTAGTTCACAGCAACCTCAAACTCCTGGGCTCAAGCAATGCTCCTGCCTCAGCTTCCAGAGTAGCTGGGACTACAGGCATGCACCACCATGCCTGGCTAATTTTTTCTATACATATCAGTTAGCCAATTAATTTCTTTCTATTTATAGTAGAGACGGGGGTCACGCTCTTGCTCAGGCTGGTTTTGAACTCCTGACCTTGAGCAATCTGCCCGCCTCGGCCTCCCAGAGTGCTAGGATTATAGGCATGAGCCACCGCGCCCGGCCTCCTCGTATCTCTTAAAATGGAACATTCTCTCACATTCCCAAATCTTGGACTCTGAGGCAGAATCAAGATGCAAGGCCCCCTTTACTCACATTATATTCTCGTATTTGGACTCCAAACTCCTACTTCTCTACCCATCTAAGGCTCTTTGAAGTATATACAGTGGAGAAGAAAAGTAGGGCAAAGCTAGTTCTGTCTAATTATATGTCCTTTAAAATATTTTCTGTCTTAAACCAGACTGAAAGTCTAGAATTTGGGCATTTTTATTCTCTGGTTTTGCCATGCCTGAACTGGGAGAAAGGCTCTTTGTAAGTAAATGAATTGAGGCTGCAGGGGCCCCAGGGAGGGGACACGAACATTAATTTTTTGCACATCATCATACCTCAGGGAGCTAATGATGGGATTTCTCTAGTTTTTAGCTTTATGCATGGTGGTTCTACCAATAGAAATAGAAAATTTTGCAGGAGAAACAGATGGGTATATGGATTAGTTTCAGACACCAGTTTGCAAATACAGATGCAGACAGATCACTGACAGTTGGAGAGAGATAATAAACTTGGGAATTGTCAACATAATACTGCATGACTAGTTTGGGTGAGAAACATCCAAAGAGATTGCCAAATTTGACAAGACCAGTTTTAGAGGACGTGTCTTTGGAGGACAATTACATTAAAGGGGAAAAATGTGTCTGGCTGTATGAACATAATCACTGGCAACTTTAAACATTTTCTGTGGTGTTGAGGAAAAATGGAGAAAGAAATATAGATAATCCTTTTCAGGAGTTTGAATGGAAAGAGGAGGGCAGAGACAGGTGAGACTTTTATTGTTTTGTTGTGTTTTTTTTTGTTGTTGTTAGAATAGACTTGAACAAGTTTATAAGCTAAGAGGGCAAGGAAGAAAAAAATCTCTGCATCAGGCAGAAGAGAAAGAGTTAAAGGCTCAGGTGAATAGTTGGCCTTAAGCTGAAGAAAGGGAAGGAGGAAGGGGGAAGGGGATGATAGGGAGTCCCCCAGCCTCCACTTCATACCCCAGTGGGTGGGGATGTGAGTAGACAAAGGAACTTGGTGAGAAGGGCAAGTGATTGAGGAAAAACACACATGATGCTCTGTTTTCTCAATGACTCAGGAAAAGACATCAATTTATAGAAAGGAGGCCAGGGTCCCAAAGAAAATATGAGGATTAATGAATACCAACAATATTAATGAATGTTTATTTTATTTATTTATTTTGAGACAAAGTCTCACTCTCACCTGGGCTACCGTGTAATGGCATCATCACAGGTCACTGCAGCCTTAAACTCCTGGGCTCAAGTGATCCTGTCTTAGCCTCCCATGTAGGTGGGACTACAGGCACGAGCCACCAAACTCACATAATTTTTCTTTTCTTTTTTTTGTAGAGATAGGGTCTTGCCCAGGCTGGTTCCTAACTCCTGACAATCCTCCTGCCTTAGCCTCCCGAAATGGTAGGATTACAGGCATGAGCCACCACACCTGGCCATAAAAATCTTTAAAACACAGTTTTTATTAAATCATCACAGGAAATATATTAATACCCCAATCATCAATCTGAAGTAGGCCAATTAATATTTATTGAATATATACTATTTAATAATATGCTATTAAAATATAAGGGTATTGGCTGGGAACAGTGGCTCATGCCTATAATCCTAGCACTCTGGGAGGCCAAGGGTTAGCGGAACAGTTGTTTTTTTAATTTTGTCACCCATGGGCTTTCGCTTTTTTGTATAACCCAGTCAACATCACAAAACTACTTATTTTTGTTTGTT